TTACTTTTATCACTTTTCATAGTAATTTAGGATTGGATGCCTTTGAGAGAGGCAGTTTTTAGATGAACCTTTCTTTGAGAGTGTTTATATTATCAATTGCAGTTATAATATATCCCAACGAACAAGGTAGACTCACCCTGCTTTGGAGCCTTAGTATTTTGAGGATTGAACAAGACAGACTCACTCAAGGAGCGGCACTCTTCCCTTATTTGTTTGCAATGATCATGGATGAATTGACTAAACATATTCAAGAGAAGGTCCTGTTGTGTGTGTTGTTTGCTGATGGCATATTGTTAATTGATGAAACTAGTGGGCTTAAATGTGAAATTGGATCTTCAGAGACATGCTCTAGAAACAAGAGGTTTTAAGATAAGTTGGACTAAAACAGAATATGTAATCATCATAAATTTAACCTTGATAATGATAATAGGGGTGGAAACAAGTGTACAATAATGGTTGAATACCTCAAAGTAACTTCTTTGATTTCCTTGCTTAGGTGATTCATAACAAATGAGAGATTTGAGGAAGATGTCCTATAGAATATTAGAGTAGCATGGGCAAAGTGGAAGGGTGAAACTGGAGTGCTACGTAGATAGGAGAATATCACTTAAACTGAAAATGCAAGTTTTGTAAAATGGATGACGGTGTTGGGCACTCGATACTCAAGAAACATGTTCAAAAAATAAGAGTAACAAAGATGTGAATGCTGAGACGGATGAGTGGGAAACGTAGAAAAGATGGGATTAGAAACAAGCATATTTGTGGAAATCTAGAGTAGTCCTGATAGCCAATAAAATGGGGTAAAGTAACTGTGATGATTTGGTCATGTATATAGAAGAACATCTACAACACCAGCAGGAAGTGCCCAATTGCAAGTTGAAGGGTCTGGGAATGCTAGTGGAAGGCCAAAAAATACATGGGCTGAATTAGTTTGTGACGGGAATCAACTTAAGGTGTATCAAAAGAGAACCAAAGCTGCTCCTATGCTTATTTGTCATCATTACAATGATATCCCACATTGGAGCTGGGTTAGCAGTGGAACAACATGGGAAGATCCTGGAGTTTTCTATCCACTTTAAGATGCTCTTTGTGTGGTTAAATTTGCTGCTGAACAGGACTTATTTGACTTGCATTTCTGGACAGCAAGGGCATTTTTTTTGTAATTTTGCATGTTTTGGAGGTTATGTTTGGGGACAGGTTTTAGCTTAGTAATTTCCCTTTGTTTGGCTTTATGTTTGTAATTGTTTGGGGGCATGTTTAGTCTAATTTAGCTTCTTTTTGTAAGTGGTTCATTTGAAGAGCAGTTTTGGCTAATGAACAAAGAAAGTTTCTCTACAGAATTTGGTGCGATTGCCAAGTTGGGGGTGTGATTGCCTAGGGTTTTCATCTTAGTTCCATTTCTTCTCTTCTCTTTTTTCTTTTGTTAGCTCTTTGTTTCTGTGCAACACACCTAGACCTAAGTTTAGTTGCAAGGATAATGCTGAATCACAAAGATCTTGCATCAGTTAGCAATGATTTAAGGCCCTATTGTTCAACAGTAGACATTGCACTGAATAGAGTGGAACGGCAGAGCAGGATCTATGCAGCCAAAACCATATAGTTTGGACAGGGTTTTTGTTGGGTTGAATATATTGAGTTGACCTCAAACTCCTTTGGCTGAAACTGGTCTGTGCACTTAAAATGCCATTGTACTTTGCAAGATGTTTTTTTAGGCTAAAAAATGGTCAGCTAAAATCTGAGAACGAAAAAATGTTTGACTTGAGTTATAGGGCATTGCTGTTGCTACCGATTGGAGAGAAGATTACTCTCCTATCATTTTCTTCAGAGAAAAGGTCACATATTACAGAGGACAAGGATGTTTGCTGAACCTTTTTCTTTCTTTCTTTCTTTTTTTTTTTTTTTTTTTGATAACTAAAAGATAAATTAAAGTAACTTATATCAAAGTAGCAAAAGGTTACAACAGCTGATAGAAAATCCGGTGGGACAGACTGCCACAATTTTGTTCCTGTAAAACACTTTGCTGTTTTGGGCCAACTTGGGAGCAGCTTGATTACATCCTTTCAACATGCCTAAACCTAACGAAAGAAAGGTTAGCAGACACCGACTTTATCTCATCCACAACTTCACGGGAGGTTAGATTGTTAGATTCAGATTCTGACAAAGTTTTTACTGCCACAAGAGTCAGATTCAAACGCCATGTAATTCCACCTTTGTTCCACAGCAAACGACGCTGCCTTCAGTATAGCTTGGAGCTCACCCTCCAGAACACCATCACTTCAATTTACCCACCTGTAGCTACAAGAAAATCTTGGTTAGTAAAATCTACAATTCCAAAATTGCCTTCCCTATTGTCCGCACTTCCAAGGCCCGCATCACATTCAATTATGAAAAAATGTGAAAGGCTATTATGATTGATTCCATCCCTTCTCATAGAATTTCAGAGTCATAGGCCTTGTTTGCATCTGGATAAGTCATTTACCTAGGTAATACACTTACCTGGGGGAAACACTTGCCTGGATAAGTGCACTTACCAGTGTTCTTTTATTCCCCAGGTAAAGTTGTACAATGACTGTTTTATCCAAAAAGTGACTTTATTGAAGGGACAATATTGTCCCATCACGTATTAGTAATTTTTGGTGCAGATGGGTAAGTGATTTACCCAAGTCTCAGGAGGGTATTACTTGCCTAGGTAAATGAACCGCTCAGGAATCATTCTTTTCCACAGTACCCACTATTTACTGAAATAAGAACACAGGTTTATTTCTTTTCCGTGGGACCCGCCAACTTATCTGCCCCCACTTCCTGGAAAACGAACGAGGCCTTAGTCCCAAACATACCTACATTATTCTTATCCCTATCACCTAAACATCTGAGAAAATTTAAAACCCTATATAAAACCTAATGCACAGGCCTTGTAATATTCTGAAAAATATGGTCATTTCTCGCTTACCATATACCCAAGCCAAGAAATCTTTTTTCTCAGAGAGACTATCCAAAGAAGAAAGGACTAACCATATGAAAAAACACCATCAGCTTGAAAATTTTGGAGCCTGACTCCCTACCTACTAGAAAATACGATGGCCCTAGAAACCATAATCCAAAGAAGACTCAGTTTCTTCATCACAAAAGACACACGTGTCATCTTCAATACATACCGATTTGTGAAAGATCTCTTTATTTTGGAGAAGGTAAAGTAATTTTATTAATAAAACCATAATTATGCCAGGTGTGGGGGTTCAATCATCTGAACCCCAACCCCACAGAGAACTTTTAATCACAGAAGCACTTCTAATTCTGATACCTAACAAAAATAGCTTGAATCATGGAGGGACTTCTAATTTCCAAATCATTTTAATACATAAATACAATTCCACTGACAAGCTCCTACTGCTAGTCTTCTGAAAGTTAAAACAGAAATCTTTAACCTTGAACTTGCCTGAAACAGGAGTCCAAATAATAGTTTTATAAGGTTTTCTTTTGAAGAAATGAGTTATTCATTATGTTTTGGTGCTTATTTCTTTTTCTTTTTCATTTCCTGTTTAATATTTGCTCGAAATTAACTTTATAGTGTTTACTTTTTCAATAGTTTCTTTTTGTTAGTGAGACAAAGTAAAATTCTGTAGAACAATATTTGTTTCCTAGTGGGAGCAGAAGATTTTGGCAGAAGGCTGCCCACCCTTCAGGTTCATTTTTACCAATGAAAACAGAGAAAAAAAATGCTAAAAGGCCATTATCCAATATGGGTCCAATCTGTCTGGGGTCCTGGAAGTGGACTGGACATGGACCTAACCCAGCCCAAGATTTTATCATTACACCAAGTAATATCCCCTAAAAAAAGTAAAAAGAGAAGATTCTGTTGAACAAATATGATAAAATCTAGCAAACTGGTCGTCCTCATTACTCTTGGTTTATCTGTGTTCAGTATGATATTTATCTGGACCTCCAAGGCTATAGCAAGTCAGAACCATATCTTAGACTGATGTCCACCTATATTGTTGTTCCACTTTGGGGAATTTTGGCCCTGATGTTATATAACTGCGCCCATTAGAATGACATGACTAAGAAGTAAGAGTTGTGCATTACATAAAATTGGTATTTGAAGGAATCATATTGAGTGGGGATGATTCATATGTAAGTATGTAACTGGTATAAATGGTTTCTGGTGTATGTTAGAAGTTCATGTGAATGTCCGCAACAAAATTGGCGCTTGTAGAGAATGTTTGGTAGTATAATGCCAATCGTTTTGTGTTGACCCTTTCCACTTCCATACATAGTTCCACGTTGAAGATCAGTTCAGTACCTTTTCCAAGTGGAGATTACCATATTTCAAGTAGAAGGAATGATTTCTATTTGACTAAAAGAGAAGTGTAGAACTTTTTTTTAGATAAGTAGAAGCAGAAAAATAGAAATACTTGTGCATAGTCTATGGAAGCTTTGCCAATGTAATCTTCATTTTGACCTTTTGCAAGGTAGATTAGTCATTGAATCTGCAGTATGAGTAACAACTAACAAGGGGACTTGACTTCGTATTTTCTGTGTGCCTAAGGAGTCAGATGCAGGTTGTGTTTGATGTTCAGTGATTTCCCTAGTGCTAGTGGGTTTTGTGAGACCATGTGCCTAGTTAGCTCAGGTGGAGCAGTTCAAGCACACATGACATGATCATGACATCCTGTGCTTGCAAGTGGTTTTGCTAATAAAATATTGCTCACTAAATCATGTCGTATAAATCAGTTCATGGTCAAAGCATTGTTTGTTAGTAGCTAATCTGCCTTTGTTAAATACTTAAATGTGGGATATTTATAATGATGCTACCTATTTCCAAGCAAACGGAATCAAATATCCGTGGCTGTGTTCTAACCTTGTCCAGTGCTTCTTTGCTTTTTACGTTTCATTTTATTTCTGGGATTAGTTTTTTTTTTCTTATTTTTTTTATTTGCACAGGCGAGTTAATACTGATATTTTCTCCCTTGTCCATTCTTCCCCTCTGAGTGCTTGTTAAGAACTAGGTCTGAGCGTGCCCCGATAAAGAATCAAAGGATGGAACACGCCAAAGGTTGGAGATGGAAACAATCTATCTATTGGACAGAGGGAGTGAGAGACTTGGGGCCCTGGCATCATGTTGGCCTTGCTATTGAGTTCTTTGACAATTGTGTAACATGGAAATTGTTGTCGTAGCAGTAGCATATCAAGTTACTGATTTTTTTGGGGTTCAATAATATGCTTTTGACATCACCAATACTCTTCTTTAATTATTCAGAGTTTTCTGTTCTTTTCTTGAAATGGATTTTCCTGTGGGCCTGTGGCAAATGTGGTACTTTGGCCTAGTTGGTTTTTCACTTGTAGAAGGCTTTCTCCTGGTTTGCATCGTCTCCATTAACATTGAGCATACATGCCCATGCATGAACAAATGGAGGATAGTCGTGTGATAGCATAAATGACATGTGTGGTGGACCTGCTCTTGCTAGTGCTAGCAACACCAAAGCAAAACCCCAATCCTTTTGGGTTAATAAAAAATCTGGTCGGCCACGTGAAATGCACATGCAAGGTGGGTTGGGTTGGAGGAGGTGATTGTGGTTGTGGGAGTGTAGTTAGATCCCCATGGCTGTTGGCCCTACTTGTACTGTTCTACTATCTAAACAAAACCCCTTTTTAAGGGAGACCTCAGCCATTGGCCCATTGCGTTTGCGTGCGTCCATGTTCTCCCCTACTACTTAATTACCTATTTCTTTTAATATATGCATGTATTTGAATAATACAAGAGAGTGCATGTGGGGAGGTGTCAATGACATCTCACAGCTTGTACTTGGCATCTTTTTTCTTCTTTTACATTTTATGCGTCACTTACAAAAGAGTTGTTGTTGTTGTTACTTGAATACTTGTTGCTTGTTGGGTTGGATTGGATGGGACTCAGACCGAGAGAGTGGGACTTTGCCGCAAAGTAATGGCGTACCAGGATTCATGTTCATGTGGACGGACACTCACTCTAATCCGACGGCCAGCCCCTATGGTATGGATTCGCCACGTTATCTATCCACGTGGCTAATATTTTATGGATTGGATTTGAGGATACGGAAAACTTAACGGACGGACGTCCTTTTTGGTGCTTATTCCTCACTCTTTACTTGATAGGTACGTGATGTCCTGTTGTTTACGTAAAGTAAATAATACAGATAAGATCAAGGGTGAGAGTTGCAGCGAAAGCCATGTATACATGTAGCAGAGATCATTGTTGATGGAAAAGCAATTATATCACCTGGCTGGCTGGAGCACCCAGTTCATGGAAAGTAACCATGAACCATCCCACCTCCCACCTGATACCAACCGATGGGACCCGCCGCTAGGCGCTAGCTGCTTGGGAATAAGTTGTAAGTTGTAACGCTTCAAAATGACGAGATTCCCTAAAATGTTGACTCGACTGAACGGTGTTTCCAAATCCAAAGAGTGATTAACAGTGGAGGTTCAAGGTTGAGGTAGGAGGTGGTGCATCCCTGATCGTGATCGGTGGCTGATCCCCCTCCAATCTCTCCAGAAACATGATGGAAGTGAATATTTTAGTTTTCCTTTTTTCTACCAATAATGCAAAACAGTGCGCAGCGAAAGGCAAACTCTTCATGCAAGTCACGTGATGCACTCGTACATGTTTTAACCGTTATTAAACGTGTCACCATCATGAATTGAATTCATGATCATAGGCGTCCCCTTGATACTTCTATGCACACATGGATGGAGGTCTGGGTCTGTGATCATCGGGAGCAAAGCCTAGAGTGCGGTCAGGGATGGCCATGTGATTCACCGCAGTATTCGCTCTCGTCTGACGAAGTGACGAAGCGATATTATATACAAAATAAACAAATAAATACATGGATGGAGGCCTGAAGGGTAGAGGAGAGGTAGTTGCAGTGAAGAGTGAAGAATGAAGAGGATGACTACTACTACTACTACAGAGAATTGGGTGGGGAAGGGCCCTGTGGATTAGCAATTGTCTAGGATCGAGCGGACAGTCGTATCTCTCTAAAATATTATCCATCGTATCGTACCTCTTATAAGCCATGTGCCCAGCTTACGAGCTAAAGGCATCACCTGGCCCACTCCTTCCCCATTCCGTGCAAAAAAAGATACTACTAACATAGTAGCGCTTACCGGATTCCAATAAATGCAACCATGAACCTCCCCCCTCTCTCAGTTTCTGTTTATGGAAATTATCACCGGACACACTGACACAGTACGTCGTCGACTCGTCGCTCTAGCTCAGCCTCGACTCGAGGCTCTCCCTAATTCCTATATCCTTCGCGGGATTGCTTGTTGCTTTCTCCTTCTTTATTATTTCCTGAACAATGTGCCAAAGGGTACGGCTTCTTTAAGTTATCACCATTATAATAATAATAATAATAATCTAACTGTAACGGCTAGATCCCGTCCCGTCTAACCCAGCACATGCTTCTTGTTTATCAGATTGGCTCCGATGACAAGAGAACTGAAATTCTAATGGTCCAACCAATCAAACCTGGTTTCGAGTAGCTAAACCTGAGATTTCAGTAGAGAGTGGACGTTCTTCTGGGGGGCTTTATCAGTCATCACAATAGAACTAGCACTAGAGAGTGCAAACTGCACAACATATTTGCTTCTCTAGGAAGCTTTAAGCGTTAAAATGAGAGTGCAAACAAAACAAACATTTCTCCAAAATGGGAATATTTGCTTCCAGAATTTGCCCAATTCGGCCGAAATGGAAAGCAAAAAAAATTGACAAGAAAAAAAAAGGAACAGAAACATTAGAGTTCAGTACCATTTCCACCTTTTCCTTCTTCCTCCATTTTCTTTTGCTTGGTAATTCTGCGGCAGAGAATTTAAAACCTACGAAGTTTCAGAGTTAGGACCAAAATCAGATCTCTTACAACAAGAAAATCAGAAAATTACGGAAATTCTCCGGAGAATTATGTCTGCTAAAACTGTCGAGCTGAATTGAGTTCTGCACGAGTGAATCCGCTAAACCTTTCTGATCAATCAGATTAGCTGCCTGAAATCGGGCCCGGCGTGGTGGTGGATTAAATAATCCTCACCGCTAGATACATCGAAAATTGGGTTAGCGTGAAGGAACTGTTGCTGCTGAGCCCTCTGCAACTCCTTCTGTCGTCGAAGCTCCAGTACTTTTCTATGCGAATTGGAGTGTTTCGTGAGAACAAATGTCGGGCTCGCTGCCGGCCGGTACTCTGGGACCAATCTCCCTGACTTGTACCGGACACCGCATGCGTTGCAAAGCGTCTTCGGACCCATGGGCCCGGTCCGCCACTGCGGTGTCTTGTCGGTAGCACAATGCAGGCATTTCCGCCCCTCGCCATTGCCACTTGCACCGTCTGAACTTTCTCTCTTCTTCGGTGTCCCTTTCGTGCTTTTCTTACCGGAACTCGTCGCAACATCGGATTCCGACGACGATGTTGTCGGCGACAGTACGAGCAGTCTTGAAGACCAGTTGCCCGGAGCCGCGCGGGAACGCTTGCTTCTCGCTTTGGCGGGAACTGACATCTCTGGGCGAAATATCGAGTTATTCTTGTTGTTCTCTGGTTGGAATTCTCGAGTGTCGGAGACATCATCCGTGCGCGCTTTCATCCCAGAAATCAGTTGCAGCTTCTGCAAGTCCTCGCTTGAGAACGATTCCTCCACGAAATTCGAGAGCCATTCAAGCTCAGCTAAGTCGTCGTACTGTCAAAAATATAAAATATAAATATATTAAAACTAGACTCAGAAAATTGTTTCTTCTTCTTTTCAGAACATTCGAATGCAAATGCGTTTTAAAAAATTTTGCACCATCTATCAGTTTCTCTTACGAGAAGCTGAATTGTAAGCCATGAAAACATAGCGACAATTTACAAAACTTATCGAAACAATTGCTGACCGAATTCTTCGATAACTTTCATACATATAGGTCTCAAATGAAAACCAGCATTTAGAAAAGAGGATTCAAAACCACGCCAAATTAGACACGGTTCAGTAATTTTCCGAAATTTTCGCCCTACTAGAAAATGACAATCGACACAATGCATTCTCGAAAAAGAAAAAATAAAAACAGATAAGCTAGAGCATATTATTTCTCATTAGAAATTACTGGCACACAGAGGTCTCCGGAGAATTGAGCATCAGGAAAATTCCTGCAACCGAGGTCGCCGGAAATTTGCGTATCGGATCCTGAAAATGAGGAATTGCAGCTGTCAAGGACGGTGACCGTCGACGAGTCTGTCGAATTCCCCGTTATTGTGTCGAAGGTCCCCTCCGTGATCACAGCATCTTCATTGGAGAAGTCGAGGAGGTCATCGATAATGAAATGGTCGCCGGACTTAGAATCGGCAAGGCGTTTTTCCGGCGTGAATTGAGGATTTCCTGCGCGGCAGTAGCCGCCGTGGAAGAATTCCGGTGCTTCCATTTATGTGTCCTTGGGCAAACTTAGGGCTTGCTTCCGGTAAGAGAAAGAGTGAGCGTTTCTGTTCTGGGGAGAGAGGAGAGAGGGAGGGAGAGAGGGAGAGGAGAGAAAGAGTAGGGTTTATTTCTGTTTGAAGGTGACAACCGGACAGCTAAAATGGAGGATTTGGACGAGTAAAAAGAAGCAACCCCCCAGAAAAAAAAGTTAAAATAAATAATAAAGCATCTTTACCTGCCATGAAAATTAAATAAATTCGGTGCTAAACTTTAAAAAACAATCCTTACTTCTCTCATTTGCCTGAAGGCGTCAAAATAAAAAACAAGAAAATAACCTTACTTCTCTCACAATTACGTAAATACCCTCCTTTTTGCTGGCATACGTAATACGTTACTTGACTATGAAATGAAATTCAAATTCTAGTCGTTACTTCGAGCTCAGTATGTCTGTTTTTCCACTACCACCCTCCATAACTGTCCAAAATTAGCACGTTGACAAGTGAAGACGATGGACTTTTAGTCATTTTGGGACGTAATGGCAAGATGGAGTTTTCTGTCTATGCATGATATTCGGGGGTATATAAGTCATTTCATAAAAAGGAGATTTATTTATTTAATTAGTTAAAAATTGTGATAAAATTAAGTGTTCAATTCAACTCCTTAGGAACCGATCTAGCTGGTTTGTCGCTGTGACTCGTGCATTAGCGTCCAAGTTTACAGCCGGATTCCTCTGCTTTATTTTTTCTCCTCGAGAGTTGCGTTAGTTTTTTCTTTTCTTCGCCTCACTGAATTCTCGTTTTTTTAATAATAATTTTCTGTCCTATTTTGCCCTTTATTAAATTCTTAACTCACGTTTAAGCACGACGATTACAGCTCAACTGGATATTACATCGACGTCTCTTAGCGCACCACGTGTCATCCTGCCAGTTCTTTTTCGCTTTTAATCTTCTATTGCCACGTAGGAGTAAGAGCGGGTCTATGGTTTGCATTCGACGTGGCAACTTGGAGACTGCGTCAGGTGGGCCCGAGTCAGACGACACCAATCCCCAGGTGAATCCACGTCGGGGAACTCAATAAGGTAAAGATAATGTTGGCTATTAACATGACACGGTTTATCCGTAGTGAATAGAGAAAAGAAGCCAAGCCGTGGGGGTGTTTTCGTCTTTTAACACAGGTAATTTTGATTTTTTACTTTTTATGCTTGAATAAAGGAAGGAGTCGGAACGACTGAAAAAAGAGAGGGTACCGGGGTCGTTGCTTCGGCTGGAGGTTTATTTTTCTCAGAGATTTTTTTTTTTTTTTTTATCTTCTTTTTAGAGCTAATTAGACGATGATGATATTCTATTAATTAATTTATTCTGGTTCTTGTGGGACCCGAGTAGCACGTGATAGAGCTGGAGGTGGTGTCAGTAACCATGTGAGTGCTTGGCTCGTGTCAAAAGCCAATACTGACGGTGGTCAATGCCATATTGCGAGTATAAGTAGAGAGAGTATCACCGTTTTCTTTGATGCTTCCCGCACGTGGTGTTCAAACCTTTAATATTTTCACGTTAACGTGATAACACGTGCCACGTGTCACGTGCAATGCTCGTGCTAGAAGTTACGTGCCTTAGCCATAGGCTTTTTGCTTTCTTGGTGGTTAGGTTAGGTAACTCGGGGATGTTTGAGTGGATCATTGTAGAACCAGTAAGGTCTAAGAACTCAAATAGCCAGTGACCTAAGCCCTTCTGGGAATCCAATACAGAGAACGGTTCAACCCTAGCCCAGTTTAATCTGCTTAAGCCTAAGCCCAAGACTGTGTTTGGGTTAAGGTCAGATTTAACGTGAGGCCTTCGTAAATGGGTCTCTTAACCTAAAAACCGGGCCGAACGGCACAGTAATAAAACGGGAAAGTGGGATCCTCAACAAGTGTCTCTCTGCACGCTCAATGTTTGGTATGTCAATTTTGTGGGATTTTTTGTGGCATCGAAATATTTTAGATTTTAATAGGATCCGTTTGCCAAAATCATATAGGGTTTTAGGACTTTAGATTAAAACTATGGTTTGACTATGATATGAAAAAGATATGACATCTGAAAAGCATTTGACCAATAAATTGGAATTATAAAGGTGATAGCGAAATAGGTGTTATTTATCAAAATTCATGGGTGGGCTTTGATTGGTCAAAGCTCTTTCCATACCATATCTTTTCTGCATCATAGATTTTCCCTTAAAACTATATAGGGTTTTAGGATTTTAGATTAAAACTATATAGGGTTTTTGACTATAACTCTATAGGATTTTGGATGGGCTTGGGTTTTGTTTTTTGGATACTTAGATATTCGAACCCAATTATATTTAACATAGGTACCTGATGAGGGCAGATTTGGCCCTCAACTGACATCATGACATATGGCATCTCAGGACAGCTGGATGACATCCCAACATCTCCTAAGTGATGACTTGCCTTAGCCAAAATGATGGAATCCCAGCTGGTGGCCTACCTCTGTCGCCGACTTGGCAACCTGCCTCCGCTGTCGATCTGGTGGAAGTCTAATTGGAAACCCTCGTCCACAACTCAGGGCTGCTAATAACACCTTGTCCAGGGCTAACCTGTGGTACCTCATCAGTACCGGCCGAAGTGACCTCGATGTGAGGAGCGACCTCCCTCGAAGGCTTGCCAACCTGATTGAGGCTCAGGTGGCGATATGCGAGACATGCTCGCCGACTTATTTTGCACACATCCCAATTACTCTCGGGTCTCTCGGAAGTTAGCTCTCACACCGAATGTTCCGAAGGAAACCGAATAAAACACAAAGACTGACCTACGTACACGACTACCTCTGAGGACTTCGGACCAGTTATGTATGTTTTCCTAGAGATCTCAGAAGGCCTTACCTCTAACCTCAAAAGGTACATGCGCAATTTAGTTCTTGCAACTCTCCACTCTTTCACATTTAGCTATCATAAAAATCTCTAATTCGTTGACTTAAGCATCGGAATGACCACGTCGGATTCTCTGAGCTTTCCTTCTTTGCTATTGAACTAATCAGCTAAGCAACCAACGTCTGAACTACCAACCAACTAGGGCAAACAGATCACACATCATCAGTACCCATTCTCATTATCTGATTTTTTAAACCTGTGTATATACTATTAAGCATGGGAAAATCTATGATATTAAAAGAGATGGTATTAGAAGAGCTTTAACCAATCAATACCTTCTATAAATTTTAATGAAAAAACATTTGATTCGTTACCACATTTATAATATCAACTATACATGTTTTATCATTAGCCTATCAATAGTGTTTTTTTTTTATACTTAAAAGAAAGAATGAAGGATTTGGGATTTGAGAAATTGAAAGGATAAAAAATACTTAAGCCTGTTTAAAAATGAGAAATAACAAGTTTTGTGAACACCTCTTACCCGATGCTACTCAATGCCAATAGAATGGAGTTATTCACGGGGGATAGTGCATCGTTATAGAGAGGGTGGTTCCAACTTCCAAATCATTACAGTAGAGGTGTAATTGCATTTGCATGTTCAACTCAAGCGTGCGTGCGTGTGACGTGAGACAATAAGTCAATAATGCACGTAATGATTGTTGGATGGCTAGCCGTTCATCCTTATCACCGTTGAATAATAAGATGCTGGATTGGGTTTGAGTTGGAAATGGGATCAGTATTCACTAGCATTAGACCTGTTCATGGGCCGGGTGGCCCGACGGGCCGGCCCGGCTCCCAGATGGGCTTGAACAGGCTTTTTTGCCTGCGGGTTTAACCTCAGGCCAAAAGGCCTGGCCCGCATAAAATTCGAGCTGGGCTCGGGCTTTGCCAAAATAGTCCGGCCTGAGCCTGACCCAGCCCGACCTATAGTTAAACCTACGTAAAAATCCTATGTGATGTCTATTTGAATAATTTTTTTGATTTAAAAAGATTGTTGATTCACTTGTAGGCCCATTGTTCATTTAAATAGGGGAAAAAACATCTGAATTAAAATAGATAATATCCATTTGAATATGGAAAATTCAAATTTCTTTTATTAGGTCGGGCTCGAGCTTCGGGCTTTTTATCAGGGCCGGATTCAGGCCTAAGTTGTAGGTCCGTTGGTCAAGCCGGGCTCGGGATCGGGCCTAACATTTTTCTGTTAATAAAGAATAAAAGCTCGGCCCGAACCTGATTTGGCCCGGCCCATGAACAGGTCTAAGTAACATGGACCAGTCCACGGTTTATAATCGTGGGCGATATTTTATCTTGTATCTTGTGGTGTGTACCATTCCACGTTATATTGTGATTCGGTCAACACCACGGTGCAACCGAATACTGAGAGAAAGCATGATGTGTTTTAATCTGCAATATATTATGGCTGAGCCACAGTTTCGAATATCATCTAAATCTCCGGGCTCACCCTGAGCTGTTGGCTTTTCTATATACACCAGGGACATTTTTGATAAATACAAAAAAAAAAAAAAACTTATTGGAAGGTGAGACCCATGCTCTGGCCATTCAAGATTAGATGACTTGGTGAACTACAGTTTATTAAGTAGGGTGTTTGGCATCGATGCCATATTTTCATATGTTTTCTGAGAAAAAGGTGTTGTATGCATGAAGGTTTATTGTACCGTTTTTTTTATAAAATGGTTCTTTTTTTTTTTGTTTGGCATTGGTGCTGTCATATAGACTGTTTTTTGGGAAAATAACATTGATTTTATTTGATATCAGTGTTGTATTACTGTTTTCACTTTTCGGCATTGATATACATGATTCAATGCCCAAGATGATACCATATCATTGCACCATTGGCAGCAATGGGATGTTTTCTGAGAAAACATTGAATTTGACATTTCTTAAGACTATACTTTCCCAATTTTTAATGTATGGTTTGAAGCAACATTTTTTTTCCTGGAAAAATAATGCCAAATAAGAGGTTGTTTTTTAAAGCACCGCCTTTTCTGATGTGACACCAATACGGCACCGTTTTTTGAAAAATGGCATCAATGCCAAACACCACCCAAGATTATTGCCTCCAAGGAATAGTAATTTTATACTTTTCTTTGCCTTTAAATTTGTGCCTCTGGTCACCAACCGAAGATGGAGAGAGAAAGATATATATATATATATATCCTAGGTCCTGCCAAGCTACCACCTTTATTATTATCTTAGTTAATTGCCAATCATGTTGAAGATCGGACCCAAGTAT